ACAAGTGTAAATGTCTCCCAAACCTGCTTATCACTTTATTTAAAAAACTGACCTACCCCTGCCATTTTGAAGTCTAGTTTGGGATGCAGCCAGGAATTATTGCACCAAAAACACTGCCTTTGCTGCCACCTGGCTGCATCCCAGTTAAATCCCAGCTCCCAGCTGCCCTCAGCTGGCCAATTTGCAAAGTTGGGAGCATCCCATTTTTTGAAAAGAGGCTGTCTGAGCATGGCTGGGAGCTGGGATTTAACCGGGATGCAGCTGGGTGGCAGCAAATGCAACATTTTTGGTGCAATAATTCCTGGCTGCATCCCACAATAGACTTCAAAATGACAAGGTTAAGTTTTTTTGTTTTGTTAATGTGATAAGGTCCTAAGTAGGTGATATAGGATAGCAACAAATGTTTGTAAAAAATGATCTATGACTTTATTCCTCATCAAGATTTACTTTATTCCTGCCCCAGTTTTGCCAGCTCTTATTTATCACTTCTTCTTGTTGCATCAATGTCATTGCATAGGTATTTCTTAGTTCACTGCTTTCTGTTTCCTGTTGCTTGGGTATTGTGACATTTATTGTTGTTTTCCCCCCTCTTGATTTCCCAAACTAGGTTTCCTTTTGCTCACCTGGCAACATGACAAAATTCAGGAACAGATACTTGATGAGTCATACAGAGCAATCTATGTCAGGTTCATCTTCCCTTCTGTTACAACATCGATCTTACAGTGGTAAGAATGAAACACAAATCAAGAGACTCTTGCAAAGAATGGGTTGCACACACATGTCATTTCAGTGCTCAGCAGGTAAATTTATTTATTTACATTTTGTCTCATTTCCAAAGAGTCCAAGAAGATGTACGTCATCTTACAAAAATGCTATGAGGTACTTAGGCTGACAGATAGTAGCAGTCCTAAAGCCATTGATTTACTAATACATTTGAACTGGAGCCACTTGTCATGACTGTCTTCATACTCAGTGTTACCCCAAGATCTGGTCCTGTATGCCCCTCCTCTTTTGTGATATCATATTGATATCAAAAAGGATGTTTTCAGCATGTAGCCAAGGAGAATGCCCCCAGTGCATTCTCTCTCTGGAGAAAGCCAAAGCATGTAGCCAGGATAGATAGACCAAGATTGGAACCTGCATAATTCCTTCACTTATAGGAGCGATAGTGGGTGATAGACCTGGTGTTTGCAAAATAACAAAAGTCCAGGAATACTTTCTCCTGGAGGAGAAACTCCATTGTCCAGAAACATTTGCACTGATTGTCTGGTCATTCACAAGTTCCCTGTTCATTCTTCTCTCCTGGAAACTATCTTTGCCCTATAAATATGCCTGACCAGACATCATTAATTTGGTCTTGTTTGAGGCCAGACAGACACTTTGTCACTATCTTGCTTGAGTCCTCAGCACCACTGGCCATGCCACAATCCACCGGCATGGTGTGAGCCATGTGTTCCCCAGTTGGAGTTCTGCTTCTGGAATCGGTACAGTATCACTCTCTGCAGTCCCTTCAGTTGCTATCTGCTACCACTTTTTATATCATTAGTTTTTGGATGTGTGCATGAGTGAGTGTCTGTTTGAATGGTGATTCCTCTTGATCATAAATAAACCTGTATTTGGACCTTGCACTCTGGACTTCTGTTTCTCAGAACTGATATATACAGACTTGATCCCTGCTTTGAGTTGTGCAAACCTTTTCAACTGCTTCAATTGAACTAATAAGTTTTCCCTATTAAATATTGATTGTGAGTGCCCTCTCAGTGCCCTGGCATTTTGGGTAACACCAGACCTAGTGGCAGTTTCCAACCAATGGGGGAGTGAATTCTGCTTTCACTTTATACCTAAAGAAACTAATCAAGGCACTGAATCCTATCACCAAAATCACCAGCAACTTGAGTCTAATTGGCATTGAAGAAATAATGAAATATGACATAGTTCCATTCTATGGAATCCTGGGATTTGTAATTTGTTGTGACACTTCTCTGGCAGCTCTCTAGCAGAGAAGGCTAAATATCTCACAAAACTACAAATCCCAGAATTCCATAGCATTGAGCCAGGGCAGTTAATGTGATGTCAAACTGCATTATTTCTGCAATGCAGATTAGAACTTGCATAGCTCTTTCAAATTCAGATTAATACCTGGAGTGGGTTCACTACCACCGCTACATGGAAACCACCACCTGCCACTGCTCAGGTCACCAAGGAATCCTGGAAGCCAGGTGGAGAGCATTTGGATAAAAATTAAAGGGGAAGGAAACAACAGGGATGTTATTGTGGGAGTCTACTACAGACCCCCGACTCAGGCAGATGAATTGGATGATGCCTTTCTAGAACAGATGACCACATACTCAGAAAGGAGAAATATAGTAATGATGGGAGACTTCAACTATCCTGATATTTGTTGGAAGTCAAACTCAGCAAAATCCTCAAGGTCTAGCAAATTCCTCACTTGCCTTGAAGACAATTTCATTGTCCAAAAGGTAGAAGAGGCAACGAGGGAGTCAGCTATTTTGGATCTGATCCTAACTAACAGGGAAAAACTAGTTAATGGGGTGCAAGTGGTTGGATCCTTACGCAGGAGTGATCATGTCCTCCTGGAGTTTATTATGCAGTGGAAAGGAG